CTTAACCTTCTTGGTGAAGCTCAACTCAAGGATGCACTGCTCCTAACCTAGATGAATCCCTGGTTTCTGTTCCCAGGCTCTCTCAGCCTGGAAAGATCAGGAAGTCCAAGGGCTTTAGACACTCGGTGATGGGAATAATACAAAGTTTTACCTACAGAAGTTTTGTGGGAATATCTCTATTCTTCAAGGTGCACAAGTGGGCTGGGAAAAGCAGGTCCAGGTACTAAGAACTGGCTTACAAATCACGAGTTTTAGAAAGGGCTTGTTAGCATCACAGCTGGACAAGGTTGAACTGGATAGATGTGTGGTTATTGGATTCTGGGCTGGGTACTGGGTGCTGAATGGAGCCAAGTAGAGTCTTCCAATTCTCTGAGAACAGAGGACTGCCACCTACTCATTTTGCCAACATTCATCCAGTCTCTCTCTCTCTCTCTCTCTCTCTCTCTCTCTCTCTCTCTCTCTCTTTCCCTCTCCTCGACCCACCTTCCTCCCTCTGTCTCTGTTCCTTAATCTCTCTCTCTTTCAACTTACATACTGGGCTATCTCTCCTCTTCTTGACATCATCACTGAGGCATGAGACAAACTTGGCTCAGTCCCCTCCCTGGTAATGAACAATAAGATGCTCACTTTGCTTCCAGGGAAGGACAAGAATGATAAAGTGAGATCTTGGAGACAAAAGGATACCTCATGCAGACACAGGTAGATATTTTCCCAGCCCAAAGAAGAAAAGCTGAGATGAAGGATAAATTGTAGGACCTGAGGGAATAGTTACAATTTCTGGGCGAATAAGAAGTCAATTCCCAAAGCTCCTTGTTAGACAAATTGTCCAATTTTACCTCTATTCCCTAAATAGTTCACTTTCCTATGGGAGCAGGGACATGGCAGTAAGAAGCCTATACTGACTATTTTGGGTCTTCAGGGGGCAACTTGGGGCAAGCTATATGTTTCCCAACTTGCTCTGCACCCTCTTCTCAGGGAAAAAGCTTTCCTAGTCTCCTAAACTCTGTCTTTCCAAGGCCCAGAGCTTCTCATACAGAAAGTTTCCATTCTTCTTTGAAACAGTGTTCCTCATCCCTTTAAGAAGCAAGAAACAATTTCCTACATTCACCCCATGATTTCACACCAAGAAGCACGGCTGATTCTTACCCACTTAACCTCAAGAGGGCAACTATGTATAGACATCATGGCTTCCTTTCAGTTCTGCTAATGGAGCAAGTAGAAGCTAACCTGATGGACATACACAAAGAGAGGCTGGCTGAGTGGATCTGCAGCCAGATCCTCACTCTGAGTATTGGTCCTAGGTGGTACCTGTGATAGTCTCTACCTTTGCATTTTTAAGAATTCAGTTTTGTGAGGTCACTGCCAGGTTATCAGGTCACATCCCCACTCAGTAAACACCCATGGAACTGATTGATGCATTAAGTTCCAGCCTGTAAAAACCTTCAATTATGGAACTACCCAACCATAGACAAAAGTAGAGAATATAGTACTAGGCTGAGTCATATGAAATTGCCAATATTCCACTATTTTTAACCAACTAACCTGGCAACTTTTCACATGCTTGTTACTCAAGTGGCTGGGCAGGTAGGTATGGTGCCTGGAGGTCACAGGTGGGCAGGTTTGGTGTTTGGATACATGGAGACCACTGTGGAGCCTAAGTTCACTAGAGTAGGCCTGGCATCTAAGTCTGCTGTGGTGGGCCTGGGACCTGATTCTACATGAGTGAGCCTAGATCCCGCGTTCATGGGGGCCAACCAGGCACCAGGGAGCTCTATAGTGACCTGGCATTTGGGTTTATGGTAGCTGACCTGGAGGCCGGGACTGCAGGTATGGGCCTGGCTTTGGGAGCCCACCTGGAAGCTGGGTCCACAGAAAGCCTTCTGGAGCTTGGGTCCACAGGAGCCCACCTGGAGCCTAAGGCCACAGCTGTCAGCCAGGTTCTGGGGCAGACTTGGAGCCTGGGGCCATGGGGCCCAGTCCAGTGCCAGGGTAGACTGAGAGCCTGGCTCCTTGGGAGCTGGGGTGGATTCTAGGTCCACAGAAGCAGGTCAGAAGTCTGGGTCACAAGATTTAGCCCAGTGTTGGGCAGGCCAGGGCCCTGGGGTTGCAGGGGCCAGCTTGGGCCTGAGGTGAGCAGGAACCTATGTCTGCTGTCACTGGCCTGGTGCTGGGCCTGGCCAGAAGCCTGGATCTGTGGAAGCCAGACTGGTGAAGGTAGGCAAGGAGGCTAGGGCCACAAGGGTTTGTGTAGAGCTGTGCAGATGCGGCCCGTGCTGGCTTCCGCAATGAAGTCAGGTGCTCACCTCCCCCCCGCCCCCACCCCTACTCCTAGGACTGGGCTGCCCAGGCTTGGGGCAAGGTTGAAAGAGATAACACAAAACCATCTTTCCTACCTTCTTAGAGGCATCAAATCTGATTTCTGTGATCCACCCTGGTGCTGTAATTCCTCACCTAGAAACTTTAACTCTAGTAAAGGTATTTTTTGTGCATGAGCAGTTGTTTAATTGAGTGTTTCTGGGAGGAAAAAAGCTCAGTAAACTTCTGTACTTCTGTTACTGGAACCCCAGTGTTTTTCCTTGGATCTGTCTATCTGTGCACACTGGCCCAAAGAAATGCATGAGCTTGCAAAATAGAAAGAAAAAACATTAATAGTTGAATGTTGAATTGGTAAAGGTAAAGATGACCAAAACACTTCCTCATGACTGACACGAATTTAGGTAAATGTCAGAAAGGTTTTAACAGTCATCATGTTTGGGAAGGGGCAGATTTCTGTTCAGGAGAAAAATGGGTCTGTCATTTTTTAGACAGATTAGGAGAACAGCAGAGTGGTAAATGGATGAGTATTGATACAAACATACATGGGAAGTTGTTAACAAGAATGTAGTTAGGCAGAGTCCTGGGATACTTGGTTCTGATCATTTTATGCATGGGTGATAAAAAAATATGGTGAATACTGCTGCCGAGTGCCATCCAACAGAAAGGCAGTGTTCTTCAATATGGGAAGCAGCATGTCAAACCTTAGGAACAGTGTGTGACAAGTTTCAACTTGTTCAGTGCAGTTAGTTGAGTGTGAGCTACGGTTGAGAGAAGATGTGTTTTAAAGTGTGCCATAAATCATCCTTCATCATGACAACGCTCCGTGTCACACATTGCTTCTGGTATATGGCGAGTTCCATCAAATAAAAACATTATGGTGTATCCTCATCCACCTTAGTCACCAGATCTGGCACCGTGCGACTTCTGGCTCTTCCCCAAAGTCAAAATGATTCAGGACATTGAGGCAGCCACGACAGCACAACTAAAGACACTCACAAAAGAGGACTTCCAGAATTGCTTCAGAAAGCGGCAAGAATGATGGGATAAGTGTGTTCGAAGCAAGGGTGAGTATTTTGAGGAGGATTAATGGCAATGTGTCTTTTACTGTAATAAATGTAATAAATTTTTTTAAAACATTCACCATATTCTTTGATCACAACTTGTACTTTCCTCAATGCTTCTCCTGGATGAAACTGTATACTTGAATATTGCTAAGAGAGTAGGTTTTAAATGTTCTCACCACAAAAAGAAATGATAATTATGTGGTAGGATGGAGCTTCAACTATGCTATGGTGATAATCATTTTGCAATATACAAGTGTATCAAATTAACACATTGTACACCATAATCTTACACAATATTATGTACAATTATATCTCAAAAAAGCTGGAAAAATTGATCAAATACTGGAAATCAAATACTGGCTGCATCAATCCAATTTCTGTTGCCATGGTTACATTGCCTCTTACTTTTCTCTGTCATTTCCATGTCTGTTTATCTTCTATAAGCATACATGTAATTATATTAGGGACCTATGCAGATAATCTGGGACAGCTCCTCCTCTGCAGAGACCCTAATTATTTTTTTATTTTATTTTTATAGCTGAGCCATCCTGCTACCTGTTGGCAGCTCAGCCCAGGCCGGGACTCAAACCGCTCTTGCTCAGAACTCGCACTCTTGAGCGAGCTCTTAACCAACTGAGCCACTCGGCCAGCCCATCAGAGACCCTAATTCTAAGTGAGTAAAATTCACCTTTTTATCACATAGTAAGTTAGGGGACATAGGATATAGACATATCATTTTGAGGGCCATTATTGAGCCACTACAGATATATCTTTGGTTGGCCATGGAAAATTCTATATAAGTATTCAAATCAAAGAAGGACAGTCAGAATTACATCTCTGGGAATCATGTGATTTTGACATCTTCATCTGCTGCCACCCTCTGGTGACTCTGAAGAGAATCACTTCTAGGACAAGACAACAGATGGAGGATTGAATGAATCCTTCCTCTCCCCTGTCCCTATGCATTTCCTACCTCTAAAGTCCTTGTAATGAAAGCTAACTCTCTTTATTGTTTGGACGCATTAGAGTTAGAGATTCTTTTCTTTTGAGGACTGAAGGCTTCCTCACTGTTGAAATTCAAATACTTCACAGTACTCTCAAACCACTGAGATTATCTGATTATGCAAATTTCATAGATAATGAAACTGAATATGGCAGATGCTAATGTTCCTCTGAAAAAATGTGGTTTACCGGTGAACAATCATATTCATTACTAAATAGGTATGTGAAAGGTCAGTTCCCTTACTCCAATATAGGCCTAATGTCAGGGAGCAATTGATATGACCCTACCATGGGATCAGGTAGAAGCGTGTCTCTAGGTATGACCACAGTCTTACTTCAATACTTTTCCTGTCCCATCCATCTTTTGAAACTTTTGTTTTTCTGAGATTGATAAAAAAAACAAGCAAACAAAAAAAACACTAAAACTACAACTAGAACCCTTCCAAAGGCTCTGTTTCTACAGAACCTGAGCAAAGAAATTAAGTTTAGAAAACTTAAGTCAAGTGTCAAACATCATAGAGCTAGACAAAAAATAAAGTCAGGTTAAAATGAACTTGGCCATTATGTTGTCTAGGCGTTTTAGAAAAATTTGGTGATGGAAGAATCAAGTATCATGGCTCACCCAGTATTCCTAACACTTTGCCATATTCTAGAAACCATAGCCCAGAGTAAATGGCATAAAATCAGAAAAGAAGGTATTCTACCAATTAGTTTTCTTAAGGCATGTTTCATGTCCCTTTTCCTCAGGCTGTAGATAAAGGGGTTCATCATTTGAGAAATCACAATATACATCGCTGAAGCCACTGCAGTCTTCCTGGAAGAGTCAGTAATTGTAGATGTAATTTACACCCCCCAAGTGGTCCCATAGAACAAGGAGACAACTGACAGGTGAGACCCATACATGGAAAAAGCTTTGAGCTTTCCCCCTGCTGATGGCATTCTCAAAATGGAGGATACAATTTGAGTATAAGAGAAAATAATTCCACACAGAGGAATACCACCACCAAAGAGGCTAGCCACAAAATATATCAGGAAGTTATTGATGAAGATATCAGAACAAGTGAGCTTGATGACCTGAGCAAGTTCACAGAAGTGGGGGATTTCCAGGACTCCACAGAAGGACAGCTGCAGCACTATCAGACTGTGCTTTAGGGCAACCACAATGCTCAGGAGCAGGGAGAGGAGAATCAGCAGAACACAGAGGCAGGAGCTCATGATGACCGTGTATATCAAAGGGTGACAAATGGCCATATAGCAGTCATAGGCCATTGATGTAAGGAGAAAATTCTCAAATCCACCCCAAACCAGCGCAAAGCCAATCTGGGTGAGGCAGCCCATAAAAGTGATGCTCTGATTCTGTGTTTGGATATTCACTAGCATCTTTGGGGTGGTGGTTGTGCTTAAACAGATGTCATTCAAGGACAGGTTGGAAAGGAAGAAGTACATGGGCATGTGGAGGTGGGAGTCTGAGCTGATGGCCAGGATGATGAGCAGGTTCCCCAGCACAGTGATCAGGTACATGGACTGTTGCCTTACAGCCTTATCCTCAACTGCCCCACACACACACACCAGCCCTTGACCTTGAACAAGGTCACGAGGGAGTGTCTCGGAAAACTGAGACCCGGTGGAATGATATTGGTAAAGCTTCCTCAAGGGAGTGTCCCCAAACTCTGGGATCCGGCAGAATGATGTCGGTTATCTCCCTTAGTTCATGGCTACAGCTGCAGCTGCACCATCCTGGGGGTTGTGTGTGTAGGAGTACAAAGACACATACTTTGGAGTACAATGGATCTGGTTGATGGAAACTGGCCTTAAGGCACTTATCACACAGACTTAGAAAAAATAAAAAGTTTTACTCCTTCGAAGTTTCTTAATGAAAGCTTCACGTTGGTCCAATTAGGTGCTCAGTTCCAGAGAGAGAACTGCAGCCTCCTGGCCTTGTGTCATAAATCTATCTTTGTCTCTTTGTCTCTTGTACTTCTTTCACCCTGCTCAGTCCCCTTTCACTCATCACTGCCTGTGCTGCGCAAGATGTGGCAACGGACAGAAACAGGCAGAAGAGGAGGGGCTGTAGTTCTGGATCATCTGTCAATCTCAGAAGTAGGGATTCTGAAACATCTGTTTGGTTTGTAGGTTCCGTGTTGTTGATGAATCTGGTGGAAAAGATGGGGTGAAAATAAGATAAAATGAGTGGTCCCCAGGCATGTAGCAGCAGCATCAAACGGGAACTTGACGCAAATGTAAACTCTTCATACCACTTCAGACTTACGGCTGATACACTCTGAGGGCGACACCAGCAATCTATGTTTATCAAGCCTTCTAGATGAATTTCATATATGCTAAAGTTTCAGAAACTGTGTTTAAATAAAAAGAAAAATACCTCTATGTATGTTGTGAACCCTAGAGAATATTCAAATCTTTGCCTCTGCTAATTTGTCCTGCCATCATCACCTCTCACTCTTTCTCTTCCCTCTACTCCCTTTACTGGTTATAATATTTATTTATTTTTTTAAAGATGTTTATTGGGGAATTGGGGGATGGGAACAGTGCTGGGGAATTGGGGGAAGGGGAACAGACAAGTTGCTGTTGTTTTGTTCTTCAGTCTAGCTGTGGAGGACGTTGCTTCACTGGCCCAAGTTGGCACCATCATTG